CGGGGCATCTGTGCTGAGCCGTGCCGCCCTGCCCCTGCCAGGAGAGGCTGGCGTGCCAATCACATGGCGCTGGCTGGGGGAGAGGGGAATGCAGCTCTGGGCGGGGGCTGGGTTCATGGTTCTCTCCTTTCCATTCAAATCCTTCCCTGCCCTGTGCCGCTGGTCCCTCCCTCCTGCCCCTGGAGTGTGCCTGGGGACAGAAGGGGCTGTGCTCAGGGATCAGATCCCCTCCAGGGGCCCTGGCCTTTATCCAACCTGTCTGTGCTCTTGGACCCTGCAGGTGACCCCGCTGAGCGACCCCTGGCGCCTGTCCCCCCCGGGAGGAACGGGGGCGGAGAACCCCGGGGTACCCAGTGCTCATCGAGCCATCCAACAAGAGACACTGACCCAGGCCAAACAGCGGATCCCTCCTTCACCCTCTGCTCCTAGGCCCAGACACCCCTGGACAATTCCTCCGGCGGCCTCCTTGGCCAGGCTGTCTGCTGCTGACTCCAGCCGACCCCTCGCTGCTGCGGATCCCGCCTTGCCGCCCACTCGAGACGCTTTTTGGGGGGTTCCATTTCGCTGTTGACTTTGCAGTCGAGCCCATTGACCGCCCAGCCTGCGTCTCTCCTGGCTTCCTCCCCCGCCCCTGGGCAAACGCGATGAAAGCAGGGCAGCGCGAGGGCCGGGCAGAGGCCATAGGAGCGTGAAGCGGAGCCGCTGTTCACCAGGACACAAGCGACTCAAAGCTGGGAGAGAGGGGGGCGGGTTCGTGCTGCAGCCAGTGCCCCCGGGTCAGCCGGGGCCGGTGCTGAGCAGGGCACTGCCTGGAGGGGAAGAACAACACATCCTCACTCATCAATATCCGGAGGGAAATAAACCCTCATTGGCTTCATTTGGCAGCTGGCCGGCGGCGGGCTCTGGAGGTGACAGCGCCTCTTGCAGGCCACAGTCATGAGGTGCAGGTTTCAGAGACTCCAGTGACGGCGAGGAACAAATCGGAAGCCACCGGCTAACTGGGGCTGGCCCCTCCTCACCTGAGCGCCTTCTCTGCCACAGGGCTCGGTGCCCAGGCCGACTCCCAGCCCGTCTAGCGGGAGAGTCCCTGGTGGCTGCCCCGAGAGGCGGCGCTCCTCTGGGCTGGAACGAGCCCTCGTCCCATAACTCTTCCTGGGGCTGCCTTGGGCCCGGTCTCCACCCATCACAGCCCCGGATGCTCTTTGCCTCCAAATCCAGATCTTAACTCCACGTTCTTCTGTCTGACTGTCCCACCACCGACTCCTCCGAGCAAGGACCCTGCCCAGCCCGCCTCCGCCAGGATGAACGAGATCCCGGACCTGGCGTCCCAGTCCTCCTTGGGGGTGGTCTCTGCCACCTGCGTCTCCAAAGTGGAGCTGCGGGTCAGCTGCAAACACCTGCTCGACCGGGACACGCTCAACAAGTCGGACCCCTGTGTGGTGCTGCTCATGCAGTCCCAGGGCCAGTGGATGGAGGTAGGTGGGTGGGGCCGAGACGGGGCTGGGTGACCTCGTGGTGTTTGTATTGGGCTGCCCGCATGCACGGTGCTGGCAGGATGGCCCTGCTGGGTGTGCCCCGCGGCTCGGGGCAATGTGGGGATCAGCACCTACCCCGGGGGCTCTAGCCAGGGCTGGGCCAAGGGACTTCTCACCAAACGCTGAACAGGAATTTTCATCAGTGTCCGGGGGGGAGGGGGGTCTGGATGAAAACACGCTTGTTTGGGGCTGCGAATTCCACATTTGAGCCCCCCCGTCGCTCTGTGGCCTCGGAACATTTTGTAGATGCCCGGTGGTCTGGATCCGTTCGGGTGGGCCCCAGGGCTCGGCCGGCGTCAGGATCCCTGCGCTGCGGGCGGCACATGCACAGGGCTTCTCCCCACGCCAGGCTGCACTGCTGAAAACGCCCAGTGTAGACGCTCCGCACGGGCGTGAGCGACCTGCCCCCGAGCCCGTGCAAACCCTCGTGCTCCCAGGTACTTGCAGGGTTGCTTTGAGTTCCCCCCGCGCCCTGAGCACAAGCCGCTGGGAGTGGTGGAACCGCATGGGCACCGGGGGAGCTCTGCTTCCCCATCGCTCCCCCTCCCCACGCAGCTCAGAAGCAGAGCGGGGGGGATGTTTGCGCTGAGAACACGGCTGCTCTTGGCATGGCCGTTCCCTGCGATAGGGGTTCGGAGTCAGCACAGGGGCGCTTTCGTGGCACGTCCATTTTGACCTGCTCCTGGGGGCCCGATCCTGCGAGTTGTGCTCATCCCGTCCGGAGCCGGGAGCGAGCCCATGTGACCGCCGGGTCCGGGCACAGCACACGGAGCTGGGAATTGTCCCTGGGATGGCCCCGACTGCAGGCGTATTCAGGGAATTGCTGACAGCCGTCGGGAAAAGGCCGGATTCCCAGAGCTGGTTCTCACGGCCAATTCCCTGGGAGCTGGGGCCAGCGGCACTGCACAGGTGTGTCTGGGTGTGGAGGGGGGCCATGTGCACGCTCTCCCCCCCCAAGTGAACTGAGCCCAGGGGGTGGTTAACTAGCGGGTGTTCCGGGTTAGGGACCGTAACACCGCATCGCCAGAGACACACTGTGACCGCTCGTCTGCAGGGGATGGCCTCATGCCAGCCCCTCACACCGGGCAGAGGCTGGGTCACACACATTGGGTCCCATGGGTGAGCTGTGGCAGCCGGCGAGAGCCCTGCTCAGCCATTCAGCCTGTGGCCACAAAGGGCCTTGTCATAGCCCCGCAAGGCAGGGGGTGCAGAGAGGGAAACTGAGGCACAGAGTGGTCCAGGGCCTTGCCCGGCGTCAGTGACAGAACCAGGAGCCCTGGCTCGCAGGCTCCTGCCCCGGGGCGCGAGGCATTGCCGCCTTATGAGCCTGGTTGCAGAGGGAGGGAAGGGAGCGTCAGGCAGACCCTCCCGCTCCCCTGATCCCTACTAAGCCCGTCCCTTGAGCCCTGCTTAGGTTGGATTTGGTCACACGCCTGCCCCATCACTCTGCGGTGGGACTATTTTTAGCAGCACTGAGGCTTTTTTGCCATCTCTCAGGGCTAGGGGGGCTTAGTCGCTGCCCGGCCACGCTGCACTAGGGGCCGGGCTGCGGGGCACACGGGGGCCCCAGCCTGCCTGCGCTCACCCCTGCCTGGCAGAGCGAGCAGAGACTGGGGAGGCCGACCCGGTTTCAGCTCCCAGCTCTGAGGCCGGCTCGCTGGGCAGGGGTCTCCAGCCTAGGGTGACCAGATGTCCTGATTTTATAGGGACAGTCCCGATATTTGGGACTTTTTCTTATATAGGCACCTATTATCCCCCACCCTCTGTCCCGATTTTTCACATTTGCTATCTAGTCACCCTACGAGTCCAGCCTGTGCCAGGCAGGGTCAGCCTGGATGAGGCTAATGACCCCCTCTGGCCTAAACAATCGATGCAGGAACTTGTACGTCCTGGCCTTGCTCTGTGCCTCAGTTTCCCCATCGGTCACACAGGCATAGCTCCACCACCCTGCCTCACCACGGAGCCGCTAGGGCTAATGGAGATGCTAATTAACGATGGTTAATGACCTATCATGTGACACGGGGTGAATGTGAGCGATGGAGTCTGGGGGCCTCACCACAGGGAGAGGGTCCAAGCCTGGGGACTTTGCAGTTGGTTTGCCTGGGTCCCGGTGTCCCCCTTTTGCCCCAGCTGATCCCCTCGGGCTGCATCGGGAGCTCCTCGCTCGTACTGTACACGGGCAAAACTCCCTGTGTGGCGGGTGCCTGGGTCTGGCTGTTGTCAGACACCTGCAGTGAGCCCTGCTGGGGTGCGGCCATCGCTGGCCTGCCCAGCCCCCAGCCCTAGGGGGGTTCTTTGTGCAAACAGCACACAGGGGACACAACCCCTTTAGACAAGGAAATATCACCCATGCAGCCGGGTCTCCATCCCTCCCAGGGCCTGTTGCATTCTGTGCTGGGAATTACCCGGGCTGCCACCAGCAGGAGATGGGGGACTGTGGTGGGGATGCAAGGTGCGATGCACACCCTGCTGCCCACAGGCCACAGCCCAGCGCTGGCCAGGGAGGGAGCTGAGCTGAGCCCGGTGCCTGCAGACCCCCCTGCCCACCTTCTCTGTGACCTGCTGGGCTGCATTCGCTGGGTGCCAAGGCATGTTGGTGGACTGGTGCTCCCGCAGCGGGGCCAGGCTGGCGCTAGGTGGTGGTTTGGTTGGGGTTTTGCAGGTTCTCTCGGCAGGCGAGGGAGGCAGCGGGGCTGTGCCTCTCCAGTGCCTGGAGGCGATGGCAGGGGTGGTGCTGTGCTCACCAGGGTTGATCTGGGGTCCAGGTGCTGGGGCTGGCACTGTCCTGGCAAGGTGCCTTCCCCAGGAAGTTGTCCTGTTGACTCAGAGCTGGCAGGGGGTTGGTGTGTGGGAGGCCGCGCCGTTCCTGGAACCGGCTCCACTGCGCCTTCTGCCAGCATGGCTCAGCGCATGAGAAAACGCACCCCCAGCCCTTCCGGCTGCACACAGGGACTCGGGCGCCAGCAACACCCCTGCCCCCACGGCCCCTGCCACCCCCTCTGGGACAAGGGCCCGACAGCAGCCCTGGGGAGAGACTGGCCTGTGTACCCCACCCCCCTGACCCGTAACCAGGCGCAGGATCACCCCATCGCACAGCCAGGCTGGCGCCTCCTGGCTTCAGGGATTGCCATTACACCCCGCCTTCACTTGGTAAATCAAGGGCCAATAAAATGTGAAGTTGGCTAAAAATGACCCCCCGAAACGACCCTGGCTAGCGGATAGGCCACGCAGCCAGAGCCCGCCAGGCCAGGATCCGTGTGCAAGACGTCGTCTGTAACCACCACCGACGGGCCATGGAGCACACGGCCACGTCTAGTCCTTCTGACAGCTCCTTCTGCTCCGCTTAGATGGGCAGGCCTGCGGGGCTCTGCCCCCCTGTGACAAAGTGGGACTGTTCTTAATGTTTCCTCTGAATACTGTGTGGATGCCTCAGTTTCCCCTATGCATTTCTTAAGTCTCTAGGTGGTAGGGAAAGGCCAGTGTGCATAAATCACTGACACTCTGTCTCCCTGGCAACAAATGGCCAGGGCCCCTTCCTCCCCTGCAAGGAAATAGATAAAGGTGAACAAAGAGATCAGGTGACCTCCTGGCCCAGGAAAGAGACAAAGCTGGGAGAAGGAGGGGCTGGAGGGGGTTTGGGAGTTGGAGCTACCTGGGGACTAGGAGTGAGGGCAGACGTGGGTGTCTGGCTCTCTGAACCCCATAATGGACCCGGCAGAGGGGTCCCGTTTGCCGCTGTACCTACAAGCTCTGTTTTAGACCCTGTTCCTGTCATCTAATAAACCTCTGTTTTACTGGCTGGCTGAGAGTCACGTCTGACTGCGAAGTGGGGGGTGCAGAACCCTCTGGCTTCCCCAGGACCCCGCCGGGGCGGACTCGCTGTGGGAAGCGCACGGAGGGGCAGAGGATGAATGCTCCCAGGAGAGACCCAGGAGGTGAAGTCGTGTGAGCTTCTTGCCCTGAAGACGGTCTGCTCCGAGGGAGAGGAGGCTCCGCAAAGTCCTGAGTGGCTTTGTGGGGAGCAGTTCCAGAGCATCGCCGGGGGACTCCATGACACCCCCGCAGCCCCTATGTGCTGCTTCTGGTGTTTGGCGTTGTCTGGGATGGGGTGGGTGGGCGTGCCCTGTCCTCCTGGGATTGGTCCAGGGGGCTTCTGTTCCTCCGCTAGGACTTGCCTCAGACCTGGTTGCGACATAGGACAGGTGGTACAGCCGTCACCGTGGAATATAGCGTGGTACAGAGGGTGGAGCTGTCACCGTGGGTACAGCGTGGGACAGCGGCGGCGCCATGACCGTGGGTACAGCGGGGGAGGGTGACTGGAGCCGTCACGGTGGGTGCAGCGTGGGGCGGGGGGCAAAGCCGTCACCGTGAGTACAGGGGGGACAGCCAGCGGCGCCGTCACGGTGGGTACAGCGTGGGACAGGCGGCGGCGCCATCACCGTGGGTATAACACGGGACGGATGTTAGAGCTGTCACCGTGGCAGATTGCTGGCCTCTTTCTGTTTTGAAATCTGAATGCTGAATCTGGAATTTGAATCTGATATCTGTTGGACATTCTCATCATAATGTTTCTTTTGTGCTAGTTTCCTGGTATTAGCTCTTCTGTAGCTACTTCATGATTAATTGTCTTTGGCTCAAGAAGGTGGTTTGGTGTTAGCGGTTGGAAATGTACAAAACACAAAACGTCCAGTAAGTTCATGGAATATGGTGGGCAGGACTTTTTGTTCCAGAACGTGGAAGAAGTAACCCATGCCACAGCCATTTTAGGATTGATTCTGACCAATGGGGGGAGTTGGCTGCGAATCTGAAAGCTGAAGGGAATTTGGGTAAAAATGACCATGAAATGGTCGTTTTTATGATTCTCAGGAAAGGAAGGCGTGAGAGCAGTACAATAAGGACAATGGACTTCAAAAAAGCGCACTTTAACCAACTCCGAGAAC